TCAAAAATATTTTTCTTTAAACACTAAAAATCAGAACCAGAGGATTTGATAGCCATCAATGAATGGATGAAAAATTTTTTTTCAGTGTTTACTCGCTAATCCTTTAGTTAATCAGGCTAGACAATATCTAAAATGACAGGTCAAGCTTAGTCAAGTGAAGTCAAGAGGCATATTAAGCCTCTATTATGTGCCAAGCACTATGCTGACTGCTGGGGATGCAAAGAAAATCAAAAAAATAAAATAAAATCCTGCTTTTAAAGAATTCATTTTGTGAAGTAACAGATCTATGTCTATATAATCTATGACCAGTGCTAGTGGGAGATAAGCTCAGAGGAAAGGCACCCAGGGGTGGGGAACCTGCAGCTTCAAGGCCACATGTGGCCTTCTAGGTCCTCAAGTGTGGCCTTTTGACTGAGTCCAGGTTTTACAGAATAAATCCTTTCATTAAGGGGCTTTGTTTTGTGTAGTTTGGATTCAGTCAAAGGGACTTTGAGGGCCTAGAAGGCCACAGGTGGCCTGGAGGCTGCAAGTTCCTCACTCCTGCATTAGCCTCTTGCAGAAGGTGGAATTTGGGCTGGGATGTGAAAGAAGCCAGGGGGCAGGTGAGACTTGGGGGCAGTATTCCAGGCAGAAGGGATAGACAACCAGGAAAAAGCACTGGTCTGGGAGATGGTGCCTTGTTCAAGAAATAGAAATGCTAAAAAAAAAAAAAAGGTAAAAGCTGGTTCTTTGGAAAGATGAGCAAAATTGACAAACATTTATCCAATCAGAAGAAAAAGAAGAAAGCAGAAAATCCAATCAACCAAATAGCACCTGAACAAGGAGAAATTACAGCACGATCAGGAGAATTGTCAGAATTACATACCAACAAAAATCAGAACACCCCCAAAATTGAATTCCTTCAAAAATATAAAATACTCAAGCTAGAGGTCTTTAAGAATTAAATCTCCAAAGAAAAAGTAATACTAGCTGTAAAACAAATACCAAAGGAAAAACCTCCTGGTCCCAGTGGATTCACAGAAGAATTCTGTCAAAGTTTTAAAGAACAATTAGTATTTATATTGCACAAATTCTTCTCTAAAACTGAGAAAGAAAGCACTCTACCAGATTCATTTTCAGACAAATAGAATCCTAATAACTAAACCAGGGAACAATAAAACAAAGGACAACTAAGCACCAACATCATTAATGAATATCAATTCAAAATTTTAAAAAATCATGTCGAGGAGGTTGCAGTGATTCATGTAAGAAATCATTATTTAACATAATGATCGAAATGCTATCAAAAGCAATAAAGAAGGGAAAAGAAATTAAAGAAAATATAAAACTCTCCTTATTTGCTGATGGCATGATGGTTTACTTAGAAAGTCTAGGGAATCAGCAAAGATGCTAATTGAGACAATTAATAATTTCAGTAAAGTTGTTTGGACAGGGGTGGAGAACCCGTGACCTCAAGGCCACCTGCGGCCTTCTAGGTCCTTGGGTGCAGCCTTTTGACTGAGCCCAAGTTTTATAGAAGAAATCGTTTTATTAAAGGGTTTTGTTTGGATTCAAAGGGCCACATTTGAGGACCTAGAGGGCTACATGTGGCCTTGTGGCTGCAGGTTCCCCACCCCTGTTGTAGGCTATAAATAAAACCAGAAAAAATCAATAGCATTCCCATTTAACAACAACAAAGCCCAAGAGGTAATAATAGAAAGGGAAATCCCATTCTAAATAACTACAAAATTAATAAAATATTTGAGGATCAATCTACTGAAACACACAACAAAAGATTTATAGAAATTCCAATTTGAAATTCTCATTAAAGGTAAAAAAACCCAAACAAACCTTGATTAGCTGGAGGATTATTCACTGCTCATGGCTGAGCAGTATCAATGTAATAAGAAATGGCAATACTACAAAAGTAAATTCACACTTTAAATGCTGTACCAATCAACAAATCAAAGGGACCCGTGATAAAATAGAGCATGATAAAATTACAAGATCCATTTGGAGAAACAAAAGAGCTAGAATATCAAGCAAATAATGAAAAAGATAAGAATAAAGAAGGGAAAGCATTTGCAGACCTCAAACAGTATTATAAAACAGCAGTCATCAAAATGAACTGGTACTGATTAAAAAATAGAGGAGTAGGGGCAGGTAGGTGGCCCAGTGGATAGAGTACCGGCCCTGGATTCAGGAGGACCTCAGTTCAAATCCAGCCTCAGACACATAACACTCACTAGCTGTGTGACCCTGGGCAGGTCACTTAACCCCATTGCCTAGCCAAAACCAAACCAAACAAAAAAAAAAAAAGAGGAGTACATCAATGGAAAAGAATCAGAAATAACTGAACTCAATAGCATGAATTAATAACATAAATAGCAGAATAAATTCATAACAAATTACTTAGGAAATAAATTATTATGTGATAAAAACTGCTGAGGAAACTGGAAAACAATCTGGCAAAAATGAGGCTTAAACCAGCAACTTATACCATATTATACAATATATTTTAAATAGATATATGATGTTAATATTGAAGATTATGTCAGAAAAAAATGACAGGACAATGAGATCATATGCCTCTCATACCTAGCAGTAAGAGATGTATGCTTAACCAAACAAAGAGTTGAAGAAATTATGAAAGATAAAATGGAGCATTTGAATTACTGGATACTGAGAAGCTAATGCACGAACAAAATTAAAATATCTAAGAAGACAAGTGATCAAATTAGAAAAAAAAATCATATCAATCAACTAACATATTTAAGTATGTGTAAAAATACATAGAATACAAGTTTAAAAGCAAAATAAAAAATATAAAATTTCCCTAAATGCAGCACTCTCTATGGTAGCAAAGATCTAGAACAAAGTCAAAACTAGGAAAAAAGCAGATGCTCACTGACGAGAGACTAGTTGCAAACTGTGGTACGGGACTGTCATGGAATATGACTGTGCTGTTAAAAACGATGGATATGATGATTAGAGAGAAATATGTAAAGACCTACTTGAACTGATGCAGAGAGAAGAAAGCAGAGCCCAGAAAACAGCAAACAACTACAGAAACAATGCAAATGGAAAGAATCACCAAAAAATAATCAAAATTGAATTCGACCAATTTATCCCCAGAGAAAGGGATATGAGAAGACACCTTGACCCCATTCTTCTGCAGAAGGTGGCAGGTCCATGGGTGGGCTACATTGGATATATTTTCAGACTTTCTTGATCCATATTTTTGCCATTTCCCCCTCTTTTTCCTCTTATTCTTTCTCTTCCCCTCCAACAGATAATCTTTGTTATATGGGATGGCTCTCTGGGAAAGGTGAGGATGAAGAATACTGGGAAAAATTTTGGTGATGTAAAAACAAGATATCAATAAATTTAGTTTTAAACAACTAAAAAAAATCAGAATCATATCATTTGATGGCCATCATTGAATGAATGAAAAAAGAATTAAATGTTTACTGTGCATGACGCACTGTAGTAATCTTTTATTTAATCATGCTAATAGTCCATGTCTGAAGAGACAGGTTCAACAGTTACTAAGCCCCTAAAATTTCTTCTTTCAAGGAATTCATGTTGGATTGGAAGAAATGGCCTGCACAACACTATGTATATTCAAGCTGTCTACACTCAGTGATAATGGGAGGTGAGCTCAGAGGTTAGGGCTTGACAGATAGCCTAGGATCAGCCTTTTTGTTACAAGTGAGGCAGAATTAGGAGCCTATGTCAAAGTGGCCTAGCAGTGTGATTTCATCAGTATATTAATTCAAAGTAAGCAAACACTCCCTAACAAGGTAATTCATCACCTTGTCTGTAATTTACAGTGATAGGGAGTGGCTTGGGTACTGAGAGGTTAAGTGACTTACCTAGGGTCACATAGCTAGGAAGTTTCAGTGTTCTATCCACTGTGCCACCAAGCTGTTTGATAAGTCCACAAGTTTCCTATATACCAAGCACTGTGCTAAGTATTGGGGATATATAAAAACACAAGCAAAAAGGAAGACAGTCCCTACCCCCTTGAACTTATGGTCTAATGGAGAAAGACAACAGATAAAAGGAAGCCGAAAAGGAAAGGGAATTGTGGGAATGGAGGTATCCACATAAGGCTATAAGTCACTTAGGAGAATGAAGGATGTTTGGGCCTGGCCTACAGTATTGTTGGTGGAGCTGAGAATTGTCACAACCATTTTGGAAAGCAATTTGGAACTATGCACATTAAGTGATCCAAATGGCCATATTCTTATCTATATCCTCTCTGGTGAATGTTAATTCCAAACTCCCATTTCTATAAGGCTTTCAGGTTTGCAAAATCTTTTTTTCAATATAACCCCTGGAAGTAGGTGGTATCAGTGCAACCATTTTATGGATGCAGCTGAGGTTCTGAGAGTTGGGCATTTCTCAGTGGGCACTAGTACTAGTGGCTGTTTGAGGCTGCTCCAAGTTTCAGCATGACCTGGTAATAATCTATAGGGTGTGTGTTTTGTGTCCAGAAGGAGTCTACAGGAAGCCAGCATGTATAAGGTAGACCCAGGACTGTGGCTGACCACTGCCAACAAATCCTGTGCCCTGGTCAAACTATGACCAATTTATCCCAGCTCATGGGCTCACTAGGACACTTACTGAAAAAGGGAACCACCTTCCACTGGGTAAGAACAGGAAGCTGCTAAATTGAGTACCGACGTCTGCCTCTGGCCCTGAGGTAGAAGCAAGACTACATAGCCATCACCAAAACTCCATGAGCCCTCCAGCTTCCTTCTCAGGAGGAAATCCCTGGCTTCCCTCTATTTCTTGATAGCTGGCATCAGCAGAAACCAGTCCTATTACCCTGGCCCAGGAATTGCTGCTGATCCTGGGACCACCATAGAAACTGGTGTGATCACCTTGAAGGAATGAGGATGTGCTGCCCCCATCCCATTTCTGAACCCTTCCCCCTTCTGGGATGCCCAGGTCTTACTGGGTCAGAGTAGATCAGTATCAGAGCAAAGGTCTGCCCATTCTTAAAGTGATTCTAAGCTGGGTGGGCCCCATTCTATTGGATTTTATTGGAATTCAGAGAATGATAAAAATACACTTTTTTTCCCAACAAAATCAATATATTTTCAACATGTGTTAAACATCTTTGAAAGAAGAACTTTCCTAGACGTCTGTCAATACAGATGAATGTTTTTCTCCTATCACCTAATTATGCATTGGAATCAACATAGCAAATATCAGAACAGTTTAGTCATTAGAACATGGAGAAAAACATGGTCACAGTGCAAAAAGGGGCAGATGACCAATCCCATGTACCAGATAATCCAACACTCCTACATTCAGGTAAAATGGTGACATCTTTGGTACCAACAATCACCAATCAAGGATTTGGGGCACTGCTCCTAAGTGCTGAGGTATGGAACCACCACATTCTGTGGTCATCTAGGCTGGGAATTCCAGTGGCTATGTCCATTACCGCAAACACTAGTTACTGCTCTGTAAGGACAGAAGAGGCTTCCTCCATGGAAGTAGTTAATGGAAAATCTAAAGGAACGAACATCAACCCTGAAACATTGCAAGCACAATATAGGAACAGATAGATCATTTTGGCAAGATATGGACTGATATACTCAATAGATTGGCTCCAAGAAATGCTAATCTGGTGGGAGCCAAGACCACCAAGCCCTTACTCAGCTTTTTGCTGGTACTCAGCTTTTTGCTGATACTCAGCAGTGGCCAGCTGGTAATCGATGGGATCGATACACAGCAGAGAAGGATCGCTGGCCAGATACTCTAGGAAATCATGCAAATGGCCCAGCAGCACATTGAGGCTCCCCTCACCTAGAGAAGTACAGGACAGCATGGGGCCTATTTGCGGGAAAAGGCGCAGCAGGTGGGCACCTCCATATACCTGGGACATTTGGGCAGTGGGTTGGCTGATCAGGATCTCAGCATACTGTGGTCTCTCGAAATTGTAGAGAAGCTGGGTCCCCAGCACCAGATCAAAGTACTCTTTGATCATGGCCATCAGTTCATTGACTGCAAGCTTCTTGTCAACGGTGCCCGAGTTTTCGTAGAAGGAAGCATACTCGGTCAAGATGGCTGCGACGGTCTTCCTGGCGGGCAGGGTGAAGAGCTTTTTCTCTGAGGTTACCAGCTCCCAGTCTTGAACGAGCAGGGGCTTCAAAACCTTGGGCAGGTGGACCTGGACCTCGGGCTGGAAATCCCCCGCAGCCTCCCTCCCTCCCCCGGACTTGCGCTTTTGAGAGCGGGACCACCCCTTCCCCGTCCCCCCGCTTTTCCCCTGGGGGCCCCTCTCGCTGAGTAGCGGCTCAGGGTCTGCCGCGGCTGCCGCGGCCCCGGAGGTGCTGCCCCCTGACGACAAGACGGGGCACTCCTCCTGCTGCTCTCTCTTAGCCGCCATCTGGAGGGCAGTATCGCTGTCCAGCTGCATCTGGATAGCAGAGTAACGAAGCAGGCGACTCTCGGGAACCCATTCATACTCGCACTCCCCGATGACAATAATGGAGCACAGCTGCTCTTTGAAGGGTCTTTCCCTGGGGGTCGGGGACTGCTGACCCGAGAGGGGGGCGCTGGCACTGGCATGCCCCCCTCCCGGGCTCGAAGGCGGGCTTGTACTAACGTCGTCGCTGAGAATCACCAGCTTCTCGCCCTCGGTGAGGCTGATGGTGCTGCTGGTGCTGCTGCGGCTGCGGCTGCGGCTGCGGCTGCGGCGTGGGCTGGAGCTGGGGCTAGGGGTGCCGCCATGGCGGCGGCTGGGGCTGCGGGAGCGGCGGCGGTGCCGCTTGGGGCTGTAACTACGCTTGTGGCTGCGGCTGCCGCTGGCGGCCTCCGGAGCACTCGGGTCACCCTCTCCCTCTGCCTCGGCCTTTCCCTCTGCCTCGGCCTCTCCCTCTGCCTCGGCCTCTCCCTCTGCCTCGGCCTCTCCCTCTGCCTCGGCCTCTCCCTCTGCCTCGGCCTCTCCCTCTGCCTTGGCCTCGGCCTCTCCCTCTGCCTCAGGATCGGTCTGGGGGGCTGCCTTGGGAGCCACCCGCTCTCCCCTCGGGACATTCACACCCCTCCTTTGGTAGCGTATTAGGTATTTGACCTTCACATCCTCATGATCTGCAAGGACACACTCCCCCCTGCGCATCTTGGGCTCACGGAAGGCCAGCACAGACTCTCCCTCTTTGACCGTGGGCAGTTCCTTGAACTGCTCTCCCTCCCTCCCACCCTGGAAACGCGAATCAGCCATTGCTCAACAGGCTAGGTGGAGCCTTGGGTACTTCCCCGGTAGTTTTGGCTACCGTGAACTGCACCCTTCTGCCTTCTCTGATCTCTGGCTGAACGGCTCAGCCGCCAGACGGCTGGACCGGCTGGCTGGCTAGAAGGCAGGCCCCGCTGGCTGGCTGGACGGCTGGACCGGCTGGCTGGACGGCTGGACCCTCTGGCTGGCTGGCCACCTCTCCACTCGTCTGGTCTCTGGATGGAACACGGGCTGTAGAGGCAATGGGAAAGGTCAGGGGCCGGCCGTCGGGGCTAGAGAGCGCGGAGCTGGCAGACGAGCTGCCGACTCTCTCGCTCTCCCCGACGGAGTGAGTGCCTGGGAAAGCGCGGGCGGGCGGGCGGAAGCGGACCCGCCCCTTACAGGGCAATGTAGCAACGTGGGAGTCCGCGTGATGCCTAACGGTCCTTCCCCGGGGAAGAGGCGCGAGGCGGGTGGGGGCTGGGGGCCAGGGTACGTAACTGCCTGAAGCTCCAATGAGGTGGCGGGAAATTCCCAGGTCTGAATTCAAAAGTCAACTTCCTGGCGGTGCCTTCCCCTCCATAGACCTCAGTTTCCCCATCCGCAAAACGGAGAACATTCGGGCAATAACGTTCAAACTACGCCTATGCTTGGGTTTAAGCGCAGTGGTGAAAGAGGCCCGGCATCTTGGGACCAAATAAATTCCTCCTCAGCAAGTGTGAGCGGACGTTACACCACTGTGCACGGTGTGTCTTGAGTGTGTAATGGGGGGGAGTGAGAGAGAAGGCTCCGTCATCCTGTAAAATGCGTTTTCTTTTAGCACATTATCATTCGTTCATCATTTCTGAAAAGGCACTTTTTAAATAGACATTTTCCAGTGAGCGTGCAAAACAGCCGAGTTAGATACATTCTTTCACAACCATGAGGCCACAGTGCTCTTTCTGCACCACCCCCCCCCGCCCAATTAAAAAAAAAAAACAGTAAGATGATAAAATTACCTTTTTGTGTGCTAGATGTATGGTCCCACTCAGAGGTTCCCACCATTTATTTTGAGAAACAGCACACACACATATTATGCTGGAATTTAGGCCCAAGATTCTATTTCAGCAGGGTGGGGTGTTGGTGGGCACTGATTTTTGAGAAAGGTTCAGTGTTTCTGATCTGCTTTGGGTCTGCTTCATCTTGTTTGTGCCCCAGAGTCATGGTGAAGCACCTCCATTCTATCTGGCAAATGTGGGGAAAGGGCTCATGGGGAAGCAAATCCAGGCATCCAGCCAAATGGCCATTGCATTCTTCTTTGGATGAACCCCCTGAGTAACAGAAAGTGGGATGCCCCAGACCCAGGACAATGACCTTAAAAAATGGTGCCTACACAGTAAAAAAAATGTGCTTTTCATTCCCTTGTTTTAATACTGGAGGAATGATTCCATTAACATTTTTCCCCTGCTCTGTAGCTGAAACTCAATTATAATTGACACCTAAAAAAGTCTGGAGATGACTTCCTGACCCCATTTGGGGTTTTCTTGGCAGAGATATTGGAGTGGTTTGCCTTTTCCTTCTCCTGCTCATTTACAGGTGAGGAAATTGAGGCAAACAGGGTAAAGTGACTTGCCAGGGTTACACAACTAGTGAAGTGTCTGAGGCCAGACTTGAACTCTTGAAGATGAGTCTTCCTGACTCCAGGCCTGGCTTACCCACTGCATCACCTAGCTGCGCTAAAACAGCAGTACTTTGAAGTAAATATTTTTAAAATCAATAGCATAAACACGGCTATCAGCCTTACAGATTTTAAATTGTAATGTATGTGATCAGCATAGTTGAGTCTTATTCACGGTGTTAAATCTGTTGAAATGAAATATACTTCAGCTTTTTGGGGAGGCTACACTATTTTAATTCTATAACATTTTTTTTAAAAAATCAGAGGAGATGCTGTAGATTAGATCATCTCTTAGGGCTCTTTCCACTCTTAATCTGTGACCTCTTGGACCAAGACTATTGGTCCCTGGAGGGGGACATAATGGAAGGACTGTTGTATTTGGAGCAGAAGGGCCCAAGTTCAAATCTATGCCAGGATACCTCCTAGCTGTGTGTCCTTAAAGAAGCCCCTTTCCATCAATAGTCCTCAGTTGCATCCTCTGTAACACAAGGGGGATTCTGATAGATGGCCTCCAAGATAGTGTTCAGTGCTCCTGTTCTATGATTCTGTTCCCCCTTTGACACTGGCAGGACCTTC